TCGTCTACAGTGCTCAGTGTTGGCCAGTGTGCGCCTCCTGCAGACGTCTATGGAGGCCGTGGCTGGACAGGAGAATGTGGAGATCGACACCGAGGGCTACTTGCTTGAGAAGGGAGTGAAGGAGACCTTCATGGAGTACGTGGATCCTGTGCTGAAGCTCCTGTTGCTGAACCAGGTGGCCCCTCCTGAAGCCAAACCGGAAGCAGGGGCCGCCAGCTAAAGAGTCAGATTCACCTGATCAGTTTTAATGACCTACATCTCAAAGAGTCGTGTAAATCATTAATACACTAAAATGGTTGTTTCTAAAATACATTAACAGTATCAACATTGCACCCAATGTCATTAGAAGTCTTTTGAACGATGAATGATTCCACTCTGAAGCACCTTACGTTTCATGGCAAATATATGATATCGCAAGCCTCACGATGAGTAAACGTCTGTTCATTCCTGTCGGGAGAAACTCGCCTGGGAAATAACTAGCAATATGCTTAAATCTCCACTATGAATGGTTGAATATTTGAGTGACGGTGCAGTTTCTTAACAGAAAGTTCGATTATAATTCTTTCCCGTTTCTTTACAAAATCATGTCATATGCCTAAAAGAGGCTGTTTTGTAATACCAATGCTATTGATGTTTGTAAATGATTGGAACAACATACCCTTGTGAAAAAGAAGTGCGCTTAATTCTAGTGAATGTGCACTTGTAGTGTACTTCAAATCTGAAAAGTATATTTTTTAAAAACTGTACTTGCAGGAAATATAATATTAATGAAATAAAAGGCCACTTAAGTGTACTTAAAGAGAGTCTACTTTCTTATTTAAGTACACTTTTAAAAACTGCACTTTGCTGTAATGTCAAGTTAGTACACTTATGTTGATGTGTTGATTAGCATACTAAAGCACTTGTGTTATTCAGTATTTACGTTTTAAAGTTAATTATTTTAAATGTACTAAATTGCAACTGCATCGTAAATCACAAATCTATTTAAATACACTACATATATGTTTCAGCCGAAATGACATTAAAGTATATTTGAGTTTTACAGTATTATTTGTCACTCATGTATTTAACACAGTAGACATCAGCAGTAATTATGAAATTGCATTTAAAGATGTGCTACTTAAGTGGGTGAGAAATACACTCAACTAATTGCATTTAGCATAAATGCAAACTATAATACATTTTCATTTAATTGCAAATAACATGCAGCTAAGCATCCAAAAACATTACATTCACTTTGCACTTAAGCAAATTCTTTTAAAGTATATTATTTCTGTGATAAGTACTCTTTTTTAAAAGTATGCTGAACTTCTTTTTCACAAGGGTTTGACTGCATTGTATTTCCGCTTGAAGTGTGGACAAGCAAACTGTTTGATGCTGGAAATCATTGATTACAAATATTATTATAATTATGATAGATGTGAAATTAATATTTTCTCGAATTCATATTTTCTCATCCAGTGTTACTTGCATGTTGTAAACATAAATACTTAACTGTCATTAAGTCATTTTTTGTTCTGCATTCAGCATGGTATTAAATGCATTGTAAGTGTTAAAAGACGGTGTAGATGATGCTCAACGCTCTGCTATGAAACACTGTACTGCACTCGCAGAACCGTCAGAAATCTGTTGAGTCTAATAAAATCTGACATTTTGAACGGCTTTGTCGTGTAGTGATATTTTGTGGAATATTTTGCCTTATCATCGATTCTTTCTTTCAAACTTCTGCACATCCACACAATAGCATTCAGGTGTATTTATTTATGCACACAGTAAGCAAGCAGAAAGATCTGCACGATCACATGAGCCAGGTAGACATGCACACGGTCTCTTACACACATAAATAGATAATGAAGGATGATGACTGATGGCAGCATATAGAGTGAAAGCCCAGTGTCTGCGTCCTTTATCCTGTAACCTGTCCTAATCTGTTAATACACAAACTGCTGCACAAGCACTCACACACTTACCGCATCCACAGCACGTTAATACAGGAGGGAAGATGAATATCCAAATGCATGTACATGTCAAGTGCTCATCTACAGATTGTCAAGTACTTTATATATATATATACTTGTATACAATACGAAACACACCATATGTGGCAACATGCCTTTGCTATAAGTCAAGTCACCTTTATTTATATAGCGCTTTTAACAATACAGATTGTGTCAAAGCAACTGTACAGCATTAATTAGGAAAATATTGTGTCAATAATGTAAAATGATAATAGTAAACACTCAATGTTCAGTTAAAGCTTGTCCCGGTGGCCGTCTCAATAACAAGCACGCTTCATTGATACTTTAATGATAACAGCTCACAACAGAGCTTACACACAACCTAGCAATTACACACATGCAACTTGAGATCCAAACAGTGTGTGTGAGCTAAAAGCTGTCGTTATTGGGAGAGGCTGTGTTCTTCAGCACGGGAGTTGGCGAGTTGGATTGCACCAGCTTTTCTCTCTTTCGCCACCTACACACCCAACCAACCAACCACACACGTCTGATGTGCTCCGAAGCCGAGTCCAGCAGCGGCGCTTCGGCTCACTATCGGACTCGTTTTAGAGAATCGGTTCGTTCGAAAGGTTCAATCTAGTGAACCAATTCGTAAAACGATTAATCGACTCGTTCGGACGGAGACGCAACTCAAAAGTGCATTTAAGTCTAATGAAATAAAGCCAAATACAGCTACTCGCTTTTTGTGTTTCTAACCTCACCTCACACGTAGCCAACGTTCACAAATCGAGCGCTTCGCGCGAATCGGTTCGCTCGAAAGAACCGATTCAAAGCGACGATTGGTTCGCGATTCGAACAGCACTACATCGGCTTCCGTGGCCGAAATGATCCTTACTACACTTTCTTCCAGGCGTTTGTCGTTCAATTCATTTCCTTTCCCAAACAAACGCATATCTTAACGCGAGTCGGGCGTAACTACACCCGGAAGGAAGGAGAAAAGGAGTAAAACACGCCCGTTCAGCTTTAGTGAATCCGCTGCTAGGGACATTGTGAACTGTCATGGATGATAGTTAGCACGGACGCTATCAGGGAACAGCTCGTTAGCCGAGCGAATATCGCTGTGTTTGGAGTGTGTTTGTGCTAAAGCAGCGCTAACGGGATGCGAACAGCTCAGCACAGTTGTGTCGAAGTTGGAAATACGGAAATAACAGCCATCCATGGCCCACATGATCATCAGTTAACTGGAAGCACAGTACCTCGTCGCCTTGTTTAGAAAGATATTAAAGTATGCGGCTGTCAGAAGCGGTTCATATTTAGGTCGTGCGTCCACAGCAGGATTTGTGAGCTGAGATTAAAACACAGACATGCCATAACGTGCAGAGTTTCGCTTTAGAGCGGAAGTCCGCGTGTAGATGTGAGGTCCTCTGACCGATCAAAGCTCGTGATGTCCGGCGAAAGCAGCGGCGAGGACTCGGACCGAGAGCCAGTCTGCACCGTCAAGCACCAGATCACCAGCGGTATGAGCTGTCCGTTACAGATTACAGATTACACGTAGTGTAGTCAGTAACGCTATCCGTTACATTATAATCAGACTACACTACCAGTCAAACCTTTTTGAACAGTAAGATTTTTAATGTTTTTTTTTTTTTTTTAAAGAAAATATCTCTCTTCTGCTCACCAAGCCTGCATTTATGTGATCCAAAATATGTGAAATATTTTTACTATTTAAAATAACAGTTTTCTATGTGAATATGTGTTAAACTGTAATTTATTTCTGTGATGCGCAGCTGAATTTTCAGCATCATTACTCCAAAAAATAATATTATACTGACTCGAAGTTTCTGAATGATATAGTGTATAATGTTACAAAGCTTTTTATTTCAGATAAATGCTGATCTTTGGATCTTTTTATTCATCAAAGAAACCTGAAAAAATTTACTCAACTGTTTTAAATAATAATAATAATCATCAGAAATGTTTCTAATAATCAGCATATGAGAATGATTTCTGAAGATCACGTGATACTGAAGACTGGAGTAATGATGCTGAAAATACAGCTGCACATCACAGAAATACATTACAGTTTAACAGATATTCACATAGAAAACAGCTATTTTAAATAGTAAAAATATTTCACATATTTGATATATTTTGGATCAAATAAATGCAGGCTTGGTGAGCAGAAAAGAGAGTTCTTAAAAAAAAAAAACATTACAAATCTTACTGTTCAAAAACTTTTGTCTGGTAGTGTACTCTTTGATTACTTCTGACCTAACTCGTTTATCACAGTGATTTAAATAGGATAATCTTGTAACATATTGATATAAAATTTCGTAAAGGAACTGCAGGGGGTTTGTGAGTTCAGTGGAAAGCTAACAATTAATTAAATCATAAAAATGTAAAATTAAAATAAATCATTTTAAAATAACAATCAAAATGCCATGTTTCAAAAAAAATTTTTTTTAAAAATAATTATCCATCTTTTCGAATATCTCCAGTGTTGGATGATTGACGTTTGTTGCCTGATTTCATTCTTTCCTATCTCTATTTTATTGTTATTTTTAAATTTAAAAGCAGGAAAAACAGTGTTACATTTTGTTACATGTTGCGTTCTCAGTCATGTAGGTTATCGGCCTAGTATTAGTTTTTGGTATCGCCCAAATGTCATTGCATCTGCATGAACTGTATAGCATATCATATGTATTTGATATAAGTATTAAGGTGTGTTTGTTTGTCTGTTCTCAGCAAACCTCACGGGATACACTGAGAAAGTCGGCATGGAGAACTTCGAGCTTCTGAAAGTGCTGGGCACTGGAGGTGAGCGCTGGACTGTCCGATGTGGAACTCATAATACACTTCTGTTCCAGTTTAATAAGCATATGCACCTGTAATGAAGCTGTTCATCAGCTGATCTCTGGGGTGTTGAATACAGTTAAATATCTGCATCTCTGCTTTGCTCTTTACCAGCTTACGGGAAAGTGTTCCTGGTCAGAAAAATCAGCGGCCATGATAAAGGCAAACTCTATGCCATGAAGGTTTGTGCCGTTTTTATCACACGTGACTTGCTGCTTGTCCCTCAGTTAGTAAAACAACACAAATGTTGAGTTGTGTGCTTAATGGTTAATAGAGGAATATTATCTTTTATTAATGGGCATTCTTTTGAAAGATAAAAAGGTGTATTTAAATCATTCACATGTATCATAGCATTAAATACTCAATTAGAATACATTGGACATAGTTTGTCAGCTCAACAGATTTTGATTAAATCACTATTTTTTGAGTTGTGTTCTTTGCAGGGTTATTATTGTTTATTAAATCTGAAACCATAAAAACATTTTCATTACTTGAAATTAAATAATCATTAACTGAAATAAAATAAAATGTTAATAAATGTAAACTTATTTTATTTCAGCTCGTGGCCAAGACGGTATTTCTTATTTTGGTTTAATTTTTTAAAATAGCTTAATTTAATTTAATTAAAATGTTTTTTTTAATTAATTTTTTTAAATTAAATTAAATTAAATTAAATTAAATTTTATTTAATTTTTTATTTAATTTAAAAAAAATTTTATTTATCAAGACAGGATATGACAATATGATATTTTCGTTGCGTTTAAGTTGAAGTAGGGCTGGGTGATATGGCCAAATAATCATATCGCTGTGTTTTTTGGCTGAATTGCGATATACGAAATATGTAGAATTATTTTCTTTGTTTTTCTATTTGAATTTTTAAAAAATATATATATGTTTTTTTTTTGTTTTTACATCCTGCCTAATGTTGTCTAATGAAACAATGTTTATATTAAAGGCAATGAAAACAAATATAGTGAATGTAACCTTGTAGGCTGTGTTATGTATTATAAAATCACATTATATTCTAACACTGTAACATTAACTAAGTTGAAATACTAAAATAAATAAAACTAAATAAGCTAAAACCTACAACTAAAACGTAAATAAAACTATATAGACATATTTAAAAAAAAAAAAAAAAAAAAAGACAACAAAATTACTAAAGCTTTAACAAAAATAAAAATTAAACGAAATCTAAAATCTAATTCAAGATATAAAAAAAAAAAACTATAATAGTTTATATGGGTCAAAGACGAAAAAGGGTTTAAGCATAAAAACAATAAGTGTAATACTGCTTTAAATTGTTGTTGTTTTTCCCCAAAAAATTAAAAAAGTTTTCTGTTTAATTTAATTGCAATTTTGTTTTTGTTTTTCCGAGCAAAAAATAAATATACATTTTCCCCTGATTTACAGAAGACGCCCACTAAAATGCCATTCAGTGTAACAATCTTGTAAGGCATATTTAAAAAAAAAATAAATTTATGAGATATTAAAAGACTAATTACTTTCACCCCAAATACTAATTAGTTGTAATTTAACATTTTTAAAATGTGGCACTATCCTAGGCTCCGCCCATTTGTCAGTAAGATTTTTTTTACTAATTTAAAACACAATCAAATTTAATATGCTCCCTTATTCTTTTATATATTTTAATATGTACACGTCAGAATAAGCATGTTTGAATTTTTACATAAATATTGCGGCACACTGAATGACAATGTAACATTGTTTCAACCAAATTGTAACATTTGATTCTCCAAAAACTTATTTGAAACCTTAAAAGTAGACCTTTACTTTTATTTAATGTGCTTTCTATGAACATATAATCACTTTTGTAAATTTCTTTTAATGCGGACATCTTAACATCTTTGACCCATATACTGTATATATATATGCATGTATATCAAATGCTAGATGACAGATGAAGAACTGAGGATTTTGTTGTCATTTTTGCCACTTTGCTCTAGCTCTGAGAATGGAAATCTACATTATCTACTATTGGACTGATAAAATCTTGACAAAGTGACAAGTACATGTTTGTCTCAAAATGAAATCTTATTATGAAAGTATGTTATGATCTTTCCCCCTGTAGGTTTTGAAGAAAGCAGCCATCGTTCAGAAGGCAAAGACGGCGGAGCACACTAGAACAGAGCGGCAGGTATTGGAACACATCCGCCAGTCTCCCTTCCTGGTCACCCTTCACTACGCCTTCCAGACGCAAACCAAACTGCATCTCATACTAGGTGAGTGTTTACAGTAGGTCTGGGTGCATCTAGTTCTCCAGCATCTCAGTACTTTGGTGTAAACAAGATGTCACAAGCATGTTTCCATCCACCTATTTTTAATGTGCAGTTTGGGGTATCACATAAAAACACGCTGAATAGAAACGGCGAGATGTGCATAAATTCTAAAACTGCACATAAAATCTTATGCACTCAGCTAAATGCAATTTTTATTGGATAAGAAAACATGCGCATAAACTACGATGGAAACACATTTCAGATTTGTGGTGTTTCATGTGCACGCAGGTAATTTACTGTATATGAAGAAAGAGCCACAGTGGCTTCTCCTACTGCAGCAAATCACCGTTTTCTTAGTGATGTTTGCTGCCAGTTTATCAGGAAGTGACGGTTTTGTTCTCTTCGTTTTATGTGATATTCCAATTTTGCGCACAAGTTAAATTCACAACTTTGGATGGAAGCATAGCTACTGTAGGATATACATGACTTCTAAATGCTTGCTTTAAAGTGCCCCATTATGCCATTCCTGATATTGTTTTGGGAGGCTCCTACAATAGGTTCACATGCATGCAAGGAAACGCTTTGGTTTTCTCAAAACATGCATTTAATATCACCTAATTTTCCAGCGATTCCCAAACGATTCGTTCGAATCAGTCTGAGATTCAGTCTCTCTAAACCCCTCCTTTCCGTGAGCCTGCTCTGCTCTGATTGGTCAGATGGCCCGGTCTGTTGTGATTGGTCTACTGTATACAGCGCGTGTCAGAAATGATACACCGACTGCCATAGTTCCGTTTCTTGAGCGCTCGATAGAAAATATGAACATCAATTATTAATCATACTTACAGGTTGTGATTCAGTGGAGTCAGCTGGTTCAAATAAACTGAGTACTGAGCTCATCTTCCAAGAATAAATAAATAAAATATAAATATTAAATGAAGAACTAAGTGAAAATTAGGAATGTTTCCAACTAAATGAAATAAGTTGAAACACTAAAATTACTAACTGGAATAAATAAACTAAAACCGAACTACATATACATTTAATAATTTAGCAGACGCTTTTATCCAAAGCGAATTACAAATAAATTTTAAAGGGTCATATGATGTGATTTCAAGTTTTCCTTTCTCTTTGGAGTGTTACAAGCTGATTGTGCATAGATAAGATCCCTGAAGTTGCAAAGACTAAAGTCTCAAAACCAAAGAGATATTCTTTATCAAAGTTAAGACTCTGCCACGCCCCCCTAAAACGGCTCGTTCTAACACGCCCCCACATATCTACCTCACTATGTGAAAATATTTGAATAATGCCGCCCAAACGTTCATGCAAAGAAAGAAGGCGTGGTTTCAGGAACAGCAGTAGTGTTGATTGTCGGAAGGCGGGACTTTGTAGAAAACGAAGCGTTTGAGAGAGACGGGGCATAGAGGACCTACAATAATGTACAGTATTTGAAAAATAATGTGTTTTTTGAACATTAAAGCATGTCAACATATTCTGTTACACCAAATACACAAAATAATGATCTTTAAAAAGCATCATATGACCCCTTTAAATAAATTAGAGCGATTAGAATAGAATTGAATAGGTAAGTGCTAGTATTAATCGGTCAGGTGCTGACGAAAAAAGATGTGACTTTAGACATTTTTTGAAATGTCTAAAATGTCTCGAATTAAGATCGGCAGGTCATTCCACCAGCTGGGAACAGTCCAGGAAAAGGTCCGTGATAGTGATTTTGTGCCTCTTTGGGATGGCACCACCAGGCGCCATTCACTTGTAGAACGCAAGCTTCTGGAGGGCGCATAAGTCTGAACTAGTGAGATTAGGTATATTGGTGCAGAGCCAGTGGTTGTCTTATAGGCAAACATCAGTGCCGTGAATTTGATGCGAGCAGCTGTTGGCAGCCAGTGCAAAGTGATGAAGAGAGGTGTGACGTGGGCTTACTTCGGCTCGTTGAAGACCACTCTGGCTGCTGCATTCTGGATCAGTTGCAGAGGTTTGATAGTAAATGCCAAGAGAGCATTACAATAGTCCAGTCTGGAGAGAACAAGAGCTTGGACAAGGAGTTGTGCGGCCTGCTCTGATAGGAAGGGTCTAATCATCCTAATGTTGTATAAGACAAAGCTGCAGGACCGGGCCGTTGTAGCAGTATGGTCTGTGAAGCTTAACTGATCATCCATCACAACTCCAAGGTTCCTGGCTGTCCTGGAAGGAGTTATGGTTGACAAACCTAGCTGTCAGCTACTGTCGGATCATCTGGTTGGAATGAGAAGTAGAGTTGAGTGTCATCAGCATAGCAGTGATAAGAAAAGCCATGTTTCTGAATGATGGATCCTAAAGATGGCATGTAGATGGAGAAGAGAAGCGGTCCAAGCACTGAGCCTTGAGGAACCCCAGTAACAAGAAGTTATGACTTAGAAACCTCACTCCTCCAAGACACTCTGAAGGACCTACCTGAGAGGTAAGACTTGAACTACTGGAGTGCTGTTCCTGAAATGCCCATCTTCATGAGGGTTGACAGGAGAATCTGGTGGTTAACTGTGTCAAAAGCAGCAGACAGATCCAGCAAGATGAGTACTGAGGATTTGGAAGCTGCTATTGCCAGTCTCAGGGCTTCAGTAACCGAGAGCAGGGCAGTCTCAGTTGAGTGGCAAAGAAGAGAGAAGGTGGTTTTGAAAAGTGTGCAAGAGTCAGAGCAATTGTTAATTTTGTTGTGGTAGTATATTGTTTTAGAACATCGGACAGCCAGGGGGCAGAGGGGGTGGTGTGTGCTGGTCTGGATGAAAGGGGGCAAACGTTGTCTAAGCAAGATGGTAGAGTGGAGCAAAGAGTGTCAGTAGCAGTGTAAGTGTCCAGTGCTGAAAACTGAGAGGGTGGAGGAAGTGAGGATGAAACCATAGAGGATAGGCGAGAGGGAGGGAGTGAGCGTAGGTTACGCTGAAAGGTGACCTGCAGAGGAGTGTGTGTTGTGTCTGTAGTCAGTCTGAGGTTTAAAGTGATGAGGAAGTGGTCTGAGGTGTGCAACTGAGTTACTAAAGTGTTATCAGTGGAGCTGTAGCGTATGTAGATAAGGTCTAATTGGTTATCTGATTTGTGAGTAGCCGTAGTAGACACTCGCTTGAGGTCAAATGAGGTGAGCAGAGTGGTGAAGTCAGCAGCCTGGGGGTTTTCTAGGTAGATGTTGAATTCACCGAGTAGCACCAGAGGAGTACCGTCCTCAGGGAAGTTTGAGACACATCCACACTCCTCCAAGAAGTTACCCAGTTGACCTGGGGGACGATAAACAACTACAAAGTGGATTTTAGCAGGGTGGGTAATACTAATTGCGTGTGATTCAAATGAACTGTTGCCAGTAAGAGATGGCAGAGGATCAAATTTCCATTCATTTGAGATAAGCAGACCAGTACCTCCACCCCTTCCAATCGGACGAGGGTGTGAGAAAAAGGGAAATTAGTGGAGAGGGCTGCAGGAGTGACAGTGTCCTCAGGTTTGATCCAAGTCTCAGTTAGGGCCATGAGGTTGAGACTTGAATGAGTAGCAATTAGGGATGCACCGATACCGATACTGGTATCGGTATCGGGCCCGATACTGGTCTCCTGTACTCGTACTCGTTAAAATGCCCCGATACCAAACGCCGATACCACACAGCATGTGATAAGCGCCATATTTAAACGAAGAAACACCAACAACAGACAGCAGAAAGTTAAGGATGTCTACTACGAAGTATATTTATGCAATGAATATAATGTTAAACATTCAGTATTAACGCCTGTATAGCTGATGTGCGCGAGCTGATAAACAAAGCACGCTGAGTGGATTGAGCGCATTGTGAGGATGAAAAGAGGGTGGAGGAAGTGATGATCTATGGTTTCATCCTCACTTCCTCCACTTCCTCCACCAGATGCGCGAGCTTGTCGAGTGAATATACCTTTCTCACAGACATTTTGCTTGATTGTTTCTGCATTATATGAGTGGCTTTGAAATATAAATCACAGCACGTTTCAGATGAAAAAACGCGACTTCTATTTCTGTAGATTATTAGGATTGCACTGCCTCCAACGTACAGTGCGTGATTTACCAGTGTTATGAGTAATAGTAGAGATTTGAAAGCACAGTGAGAATAATTGACTAAAACGTGTAGATGAGAACAAGCTGTAAAGAAAGGGGAGAAAAGCAGTACTCAAGTGTCTTGTCGGTGGAGTCGCGCAGGTAGAGTCGCTGGTCTTTACACTCGTCGGTCTTCACACGAGGGCTGCCGCAGTGTACTAACCAATTATATACTTGCCTGATACCTCGTTATTGAATTCAGCTGGCTATGCCTTACTACTTAGCAAACCAAAACTGAAAAGCCATGTGATGCGCACAAGAACAAATGCGACTTGAGCACGTGTTTACCACGGTGAACACAGTGAGCAAAACAATGTTTCCTACCAATGACAACCGCGCTAAAATCTAATAAGAAAAAGCTGCTCTCCTCTTCTGTTGCTCGACTGCTTCTTCTAAAACTAAATCTGAAATAAAAAAGAAGTTTATAAAACGGAGAGTTCCGGTGCTTGATTCTGATTGGCTGAGCCGCGTTCGAAGCTGTTGTAAATGACTCTACAAAGTAACATACACCTTTGTTTACGTTTGTCTGTTGCTCGGCAACCACTTTGTTGCAACCACAACTGTTTCTGAGGAACTACATTGTTTGGTGGAAGAATACTGTTTTTATTAATATCATTACACTTTATTTGCTCTGCTCTATACTACGTACATGGAATAACCATTTTATAAAAGCAATAAGCCCCGTGAAGCCGTGGTTTACAGTGAATTTATAACAGCTAAGGGGCGTTGTTAGGCACGACGCGAAGCTTCAGGCTTCTTGGGGCTTATTTCTTTATTAAACATAAATAGTAATATTTAAAAAGAACAAAAACGAATAAAAAGTACAAAAATGCAAAAACTTAAATTAAAATGAAAACTGAACTTTGTCAGTTTGTCTGTTATGAATCATATTGATGTCTGTTCCCCAAAAAAAAAAATCAAATGTCAGTTATTTAATTCACTGGATTATCTAAAAATAACCATTGTTATGTAACTGGGTGAAATATAGTTTTTTTGAGTTTTCAGCACATTTAACTATGCAGTGTAAAATGATGCAAGACATCGGTCACAACACCCACCCCTAGATGTTTAGCTCTAGATATTTGTCTTTTAGTAAATTGGTGTTTTTTGGAAAATGTTGTGAGTGTGTGTTTGTTTCGGAAGACTATGTGAGCGGAGGAGAGATGTTTACTCACCTGTACCAGAGAGACCACTTCTCCGAGGATGAGGTCAGGATCTACGTGGGAGAAATCATTCTGGCCCTGGAGCACCTGCACAAGGTACTAACATCCGCTCGCATTGAGCGCATCACGCATGCAATTAATTAAATATGCTCAAAACCATGCATTCTTAAAAATATTCAGCTGAATATTTTTATGCCTAAATTATTTGTCAATTAAATGCAGATAGGAAAAGGAAGTCCTTTGTAATTATTGTTTCGGAGAAATGTGATTAGTTATAATTATCAATAATATTTTAGCATCAAACTTTTATAATCATTTTTTATTAAATTGAGATTAGAGTTAAAGAAATTCGAAATTAATTGCAGTAGCAAAAAAAAAAAAAGATTTTTGTTTTACATGAAGGTATAAATATGTGACCCTGCAGCACAAAAGCAGTCTTAAGTCGCTGGGGTATATTTGTAGCAATAGCCAACAATACATTGTATGGGTCACAATTATCAATTTTTCTTTTATGCCAAAAATCATTAGGATATTAAGTAAAGATCATGTTCCATGAAGATATTTTGTACATTTCGTACCATAAATATATCAAAACTTAATTTTTGATTAGTAATATGCATTGCTAAGAACTTCATTTGAACAACTTTAAAGATGATTTTCTCAATATTTAGATTTTTTTGCACCCTCAGATTCCAGATTTTCAAATAGTTGTATCTCAGCCAAATATTGTGCTATCCTAACAAACCATACATCAATGGAAAGCTTATTTATTCAAAAAAATTGACACTTAAGACTGGTTTTGTGGTCCAGGGTCACATATGATCAATGTTTTGTGAGTGCTGTATCTGGTCTTGTGTTTTCAGCTTGGCATCGTGTACCGCGACATTAAGCTGGAGAACATTTTATTGGACAGTGATGGTCATGTGGTTCTGACAGACTTTGGGCTGAGTAAGGAGTTTCTGGAAGAGGAGGTGAGAAAGTAAAAACTCATCATGCATAATCGCCCGGTTTCACAGACAAGGCTTAAGCACTAAAATGCATGTCTGTTCTGTTTTACCTGAAAGACACTTGCACTGGCTGATCTTAAAATACGTCAGTGCCTTTGTTTGGTCTCAAGATGCACACCAGAAATGTTTATAAAAGATACTTAAATGTCCTAATTGAACTATGGCCTAATCCTGGCTCAGCCTAAGCCGTGTTTGTGAAACTGGGCCGATAACTAGATTGGATTGTTTTTTTCATTGCATGCACGTTGTGCTGTAATGCAGTGTGCGGTTCTCATGCTGCTGTGTTTGGTTCGTGTGTAGAAAGAGAGGACGTACTCATTCTGTGGCACTATAGAGTACATGGCTCCAGAGATCATCCGAGGGAAAGCTGGCCATGGCAAGGTGAGAGGAGACAGAATTAGCTGACAAATCTCACAGAGGAACTTCAGATTAAAGCATGTCATTTAAAAACGTTTCAGTTCATATCATTGACAGTACGGCTGCAACTGACGATTATTGTGATAATCGATTAGTTGGCCGATTATTTTTCGATTAATCGGATTAAAAAGCCTCTTTTTTATTTTTATTGACATTTTATATTTTTAGATGCATTTCGTCCATAGAAATGCGTTATTCACTGCTGTAATTTGCGCGGTGGGCAGACGCGACTAATCGATAATCACATTCGTTGTCGATTATTTTCATTATTGATTATTAACGATCTTAGCGATTAGTTGTTGCGGCCCTAATTGAAATGGAACAAGAGAGATGTAATTGCAAAAAAGAAAATCAAGGATTTAGCATTTTTTAAATCACTTTTCTTGATAATTGAGCACTTTAGTAAATAAAATATCTAATAAATCTTTATTGAGATCGTTATTTACAGACATGATTCTCAATACTGTAATTTGCGATTGACTTAAGCTTATTATGTATATTAATTCTATTTTGGTTCCATGCACATTAAGCTGTGAGAAAAATCTATAATAATATACATTTTGTTTCCACAGTAATGAGTTTTTTTTTTTTCATCGCGTTACATTGATGATGGCTTTTTATTGCATTACATTAATGTGGTAAAATTTGATTTTTAAAATTGTTTTTTGAGTCTTAAGTCAAGTCAAGTCAAGTCACCTTTATTTATATAGCGCTTTTAACAATACAGATTGTGTCAAAGCAACTGAACAGCATTAATTAGGAAAATAGTGTGTCAATAATGCAAAATGACAATAGTAAACACTAATTTTCCAGTTAAAGACAGTTCAATTAAAATTTTAACTTAAACTTAAAATTTTTATTTTTTTTTATATTTGATTTTTGTCATTAATATGACTCGGGCATGTTTGAATGGTAATTATTTCTCATGGAGGAGCGAGTTTATGTAATTTTATAATAGAAAATAATATCCTATTTGATTTGATTGTTTAAATATCCTTTTTAAAAATTGGAACATTAGCGATATATTTTAAATGGTTTTCCGTCATGCATTTTTTTCTCAAAATGATGGATGTCATTATATGTATATATTAAAAATATAATGTTTACGTGATTTTGTTCTCTAATTTTGGAGTGTTGACATCATATTATTCCTGTGAACAGTTTTCAGCATTATACTAATAAAAGTGCCTGTGTTTAAAAATACATCCGTTACCATACGGTCCAAAAGGGTTAACAAAATAACTTTTGGATTGAGCCCTTCTTGTAAACTCAGAGATGTGGATTCGGACAGAAGTTAAATTACAGATGTCAGAAAGCAGGAGAAATGTCATGCAGCTGGTGGGAGAAAAACACCAGGGTTCAGTGAGCTTCTGATGAGTGAGTGGTGTGTCTGTAGGTGGTGGACTGGTGGAGTTTGGGGATTCTGATGTTTGAGCTGCTGACGGGAGCGTCTCCGTTCACTCTGGAGGGAGAGAGAAATTCCCAGAGCGAGGTGTCCAAGTGAGTCTGACGGTGTTCTCCAGATTCACAGTTTAACAGCTGCTGTTTCAGACTTCCCTGAGCTCTGTGTCTCTGACAGACGCATCCTGCGCTGTGAGCCTCCATTCCCCTCCATCATCGGACGCTTGGCTCAGGATCTCCTGCGAAGGTTACTGGTGAAAGACCCCCATAAGAGGCTGGGCTCTGGACCCCGAGGAGCCGAGGAGATCAAGTCTCATGCTTTCTTCAAGGTGCTCTGTCCTCTTTCTTTTTGCCTTTCAGCTGTTCGTATTCCTCACGTTTGAACTCTGTGGTTAATCTAGTTGTGGTCTCTTAATTAGTGATGAACTGACATTTTGGCGACTTTGGGTTTTGGCCAAAACAGTTTAGGAATAGATTAAGCCCCTCCCATGTTTTCTTATTCGGTAAACTCTTTGTTTTGGAAGGATGTCACAATACGATAGTAAAGTATGTGGCAACATTCAATTCTTGAAGAGTGAAAGAACAGAGACCAGTTTAATTGTTTAAAAACCAGACAAACGTCTTTATATAAAATGTTTAATGTGAAAGGTTTAGAATGTAAAAACTACAAAAACACTTGTTATTTTGTTATTTCTTACGTTTTAAGTGGCTTAGGTGTCCACATTCTCTGTGGGGTCACTGTAGATTGTCAGGCATCTCATCTGATTGATCTCTCCAGGGTCTAAACTGGTCCGACTTGGCAGAGAAAAAGGTTCAGAGTCCATTCCGACCTGAGCTACGGAATGAGTTGGATGTGGGTAACTTTGCGGAGGAGTTTACAGGAATGGAGCCGGTTTATTCCCCTGCCAGCACTCCGCCCAGTACAGACCGTCTGTTTCAGGTACCTGCACATGCAGACACACCTGTCTTGAGTTCCTTTCATGGAGACAAACACATGCAGACAATACAAGTTATTTCCTGCCACAGCCCTCCATTATTAATATCAACAGAGTCACTACACACACACACACACACACACACACAGACAGACAGACAGACAGACAGACACACACACACACACACACACACACAGACAGACAGACACGCACACACACACAGACACACACACACACTCTAATGTAACAACCTCTGTCATGTATACCCTGTTCCATGATGTTTTTATACAGCTTTTACACATTCCCGCTAAAAATGCAGCTTAAACCAACCTTAGTTGGCCAGAACAGACCAGTCTAACCAGCTAAAAACCAGCCTAACCAGTCTGGAAGACCAGCTAGACCAGCTTAAAGAAAGAATTCACCCAAAAATGAAAATTCTGTGTTATGTTACAAATCTGAATAAATTAGTTTTTTTCCATGGACCGTTTTTTTTTTTGTTTGTTTTAAGAATAGAATATTCCTTCAGACCAGCTAAGACCAGCAGGGATTTTAGATGTTACTGCGGTCAGAATAAACCACTGTCTTCTCTTGCTGTCAGGGCTACTCTTTTGTGGCTCCTTCTATCTTGTTCAATAAGAACGTGGTGATGGCGGATGTTCTGGACGCTCATGTGAATGTTGACAGGCCCGGTTCTGCTACAGTCCAGCGCAGTGCTATGCTAAAGGTACACAGCGCCTCTAAAAAAAAATAAAGGGTTCAAGGGAGATTTTCAAGGGTTCAACAGCACGGTTTCTTCTGTGTTTTTCAGGAATCTCAGTTCTTCCAGCACTATGAGCTGTGCCTGCAGGGGGCTCCACTGGGCGAGGGGAGCTTCTCTATCTGCAGAAAGTGCAGACACAGGCAGAGCGGACAGGAGTACGCTGTAAAAATCATCAGCAGAAGGTAGAGACATCAAACCAGATTTGTGCATTGCAAAATCACATTAAAAATCATGTGTCATTGCTTGAGGTTTCAGAGTCATTATTTGAGCTTTTCCACAAGGATAAGCATTAAAAGAAAACAAATAACATGATATTCTAAAAATTGATGCACCCTTTTTATTGGAAAAGTCATAAAAAAATTAATTTTTCTTAATTGATGTACTCCTTTTTAATGGAAAATCATTCAAAAACTACTGAAATAAATATAGGTTATTTTAATGTAAAAGAATATGAAGATTTTTTTTTTAAGTGAACACTAAAGTAAAACAAATGTATCAAAAATAAATAATTTTATCTTCTCAGCATGATTTAAAAAAAATAAAAAAATCTCATTTTAGTCTTAGAACATTAGCGTTTGCTCTAAACTCAGAAGTAGGGTTGCAAAGGGGTGGAAAATTTCCGGACTCTTTCCAAAAATCCCTGGAATATTCCAAAAAATTCTGCAATGTTTCCCAAATTTACTGGAAATTTTCTACCTTTTTGCATCCCTACTCAGAAGTAAAGAATTGTTTAGACTGTTTTTAGAGTATTGCAGTGACTCTGAAACTGTGTTTCCTTCACTGTTTTTCTGCAGCAGCACAAGAGAGATACAGGTTTATATTTGTGAGCTTGTATTACGATTTTAATGTAACGAGAGACTGGGATGCTATGAAAGTTACTACTAGCATACAAAGTCAGAGAGTGTGTCTCGTTCATTTATAATTGCGTGGGATTATTCATATTTATATGCACAGGAGAACAACTCAGCCTAATTCACAAAACACGTACATAAACTTGTTCTTAACCTTGCTGTAAAGCCTTGCTCGTAAAAAATGTGAGAATGTTCTTATGCAGAATTCACATTAACATTTTTGCATATACACATTTAGTGAATGAGAGCCCATGTCTGATTTAAGGCAACAGACCTTGGACGCCGTGAACGCCGTTGGTTCTGTTCACATCCTACTCGAAATAAACCAGAACTGTTATGTGAATTGCTAAAAATGCAAATTTCATGAAGTTGGTTCTTCTGCAAACTAGGGGTGTGCGATATTGACAAAAAATTATATCTTGATATTTTCTGGGATTTTATCGATAACGATAATTAGACGATATTTTGAAACACAGAATCCCGTGGAAAACACTGCCCTGGCTACATGCTAACTGAGAGTAGCATAGTAAAATTGATGCTTTCTGGAAGTAAAAATTGTGTTTGCAGTTAATGTGCATTGTTTTTGTTTAGTTTACTGACAAATAGAATCGACCCTCCCCACAGAATGGTCTTGCATTTAACCAATAAATTCAGTTATAGGGCTGTTATCAACAAAATCCGTTGTTTTTGCCCTGCGGAGGTGGCATCTGAAGTGGCATTTAGATGCATTTACACCGACTGTTTCATGCAGCTCAGAGATGGCATGAATGCATTTACACTGCAATTACAGTTGCATGAGCGATGCAATACAATTCCGAATGCTAAAAAATGAAACAAAAACTGCAAACAAGTCATTGTTTTAATGAGTAAGTCATTGAATCATTCAGCTAGTTTAAAAACGGCTGATGAATTTAGAAACTAAGCAAGTGACTCTTTATGAATGGGTTATTGAATCATTCACTCAAACACAGATTCATTCAGTATGGAAACACTGCTTTGTGTCGCTCTGAGACGAGCAAGCGTTGAATGTGCGCACTCTGAAGGCGTGTTTTTGTATGCTTTTCGCAAAGCGAGTGACATACTCGATAATGTCAGCTCGCACATCATTAAAACAACAGTTAACCTTTCGCACAAGTCAACTCAGAGTCTTTCTGCCGTTGTAGGATGGAGGCCATGACTCAGAAAGAGATCGCAGCACTACGCCAGTGTGAATCTCACCCCAACATCGTCACGCTCCACGAGGTCTATACCGATCAGGTACGATACCTAGCTGTGACAATGAAGACATTCAGCCGTTTCAAGCCAAAAAAAGAGTACTTTATTGAAGAATGTGCACTTATGCATGCATACCTGATCTCACACTATTAATTCTCTTGCATGGCTTTTTTAAGTACCCCATCCCTGTATATTCCTTCTTTTTTTCTCTGTTCTGTCTCTCGCAGTATCATACGTATCTGGTCATGGAGCTGTTGCGAGGTGGAGAGCTGTTGGAGCGAATAAGGAAGAAGAAGGTGTTTGCAGAATGGGAGGCCAGTCAGCTGATGAAGAGCCTGGTGTCTGCGGTCAGCTTCATGCATGAGGCCGGAGTCGTGCACCGAGACCTCAAACCTGAGGTAGAGAGGCAGATACTGAGAAACTAGAATTACAGATGGAATCGATTTTTTTCTAGCTACACCCGAGCACTCTGGCAACTACATAGCAGTGTGCTAGAAACAACTCTAAACACCTAGTATTACGACAGTGATGTTTGCACAGTGAGTGTAAAATCTAGTTAGATTATAGATGGAGCAAATCAGCATGAAAGCACAGCCAAAGGGATGATATGTTGTCATGATATTAAAATTTTTAACTTTGATGGAATACCGTGAAACATATAGATATTCAAAACCATTTTCAGTACCACGGGGAAATATTAAGGGCATATAATTTGAACTGTATCTAAGATGCTGTTTACTAGGGCTGGGAAATATAGTTAAACTGTATCTCAATATTTTTCCAAATTTTGACAATACTTCAATAATTTCCAGTTGTTCTTGAAAAATGTACAAAGTACATACAGATATAATTTACTGCCACAACAGTCAACATCGTTTGCAAAAATAATCACTAACAAAATAATAATTATAATAGATATAGTGACCACTTATTGCTTTTGACCAAATTGACTAAAAAGGAACATTTAAAATCATATTTACTATGAGGTACCAATATAAAAATATGAAAATCTACAAAGGTTCCTCAGGCATAAAATTAATAATAATAATAATTCTAAGACAATATTATAATGGTAACACTTCACAATAAGGTTAATTAGTTAACTACTTTAGTTAACATGAACTAAGCATGAACAACACTTCTACAGCATTTATTAATCTTAATGTTAATTTCAACATTTACTAATGCATTATTAAAATCAAAAGTTGTGCTTGTTAACATTAGTTAATGCACTGTGGTTTAACATGAACTAACAATGATCGACTGTATTTTCTTTAACATTAACAAAGATTAATAAATACTGTAACTCATGTGTTGTTCATTGAAAGTTTGTGTTAGTTAATAATACATTAACTAATGTTAACAAATGACACCTTATTGTAAAGTGTTACCATTATAATATATTACTATTGTAATTAGGGATGTGCATCTCATGACTGAGGCCGATGCGATACGCTTCTCGATGCATAGCCAACGATACGATACATTACAGATACATATGAAGCAGCTACCGATGCGATATGATTCACCCAGATGTGTAAAGAGTACCTGAAGACTTTACTTGAGTAAAAGTACAATCACTCCACTACACGAGATCAAGCTCTGACTCTCTCACATACTATTATTTGACTTATTTTATTAATTTTTTTTTGTTTCTAGCCATGAGCCTTTCTCTCTGGTTTTATTACAGCTGTACCTTTTATAGTTAGCAGAACGTTACAATCTAAAATCGCTCTTTAAAGCATTAAAACAACTAAATTAAAAGTTAAAATCACTGGTCCTATCTGTCTGTCCGTCCGTCCTATCTGTCTGTCTGTCCGTCCTATCTGTCTGTCCTTCTGTCCTATCTGTCTGTCCGTCCGTCCTATCTGTCTGTCCTTCTGTCCTATCTGTCTGTCCGTCCTATCTGTCTGTCCTTCTGTCCTGTCTGTCTGTCCTTCTGTCCTCT